TTGAACGTCACACTGAAAGGAAGGCGAGAGTGGAGACCGGAGCTGGAAGGGCCGAGGACCAAGGGTGAGTACGGGGAGGCGAGATGAGGCCCTGCCCCCAGAAGCTCCCTCTCAGGCAGAGAAGAGGTGCAGTGACCCGGTGACGAGCGTCACGTTCTCAGAGCACAGCACCAGCGCTGGGGCGGCCAGACAGCGGGCAAGCTGACCGGCTGGGGGAGGGAAGGGGTGGGAGGAGCTAACTTCGGGCAGAACTGTAAAGGACTGAGTATAAAAATAATGCTGTGTAACATCTTTCCACCCCAGCACCGGCTAGAGAGAAAAGAGCAAACACAGCATGTAAAAGGCTGGGTTTTCATCTCCTTCTGTCATTAGCTAACGGTCCCATCACAGGTGACCTTGGTCCCTCTGAGGGTCAGCATCCCAGGAGGGAGGAACAACGGGCTTGAAGAACAAAGCGTGAACCTTCACTCGAATATTCTGTAAAATAAGAATGTCACCTCGGGTAGTCACTTCAGTTCTTGGGTCTTGGTTTCTAAAACTGCAAAATTGGGCAAATAGCCTGGAGATTTCTGGGCTGTTACCAGTATTGACGTTACAGACATGACCGGCACTGAGAAGTGGAGTGAATGTGTTCCCAGTCACTAACTATTTCAAAAAGATAGCTGAATGACGAATGAGACCTTCCTTAGGAAAGTTAAGGCCATCTGTAAACGTAAAACTCACTCTCAAACTAACGCACCCAAGCACACCAGTTTCCCCCAAACAGAGACCTTGTTCTCCCCTCTCTGCCTCCAGGACCCAGCGTGGTACAGTCTCCAAAAACTTGTTTCTAATGTCCAGATACCGAGACACGAGCTCGCCATCCTTGGGTCGCTCTGAATTGTTACACACTAAAGAAAATTCAGACACGGTTTCTCTAAAAACCTGAGTCAGCAGCACATCCGTTCTCTACCCAAAACAAAAACGGAAAACCCCAAGAAATACAATTAGAAACAAAATCACCACACCCTCCTCCAGATGTGGCAGACTCTCACACTCTAGTAAGAAAGCGCCCCGCCTAAATATAATTCTGCAACTTTCATTCTCAGTCTTCTCTCCTACTTTCCGTGTCTGATGACACAAGCAAATCCAACTATGTTCCCAAGGGGATCCTCAAAACTGAAACCCGAACCGCTAGGTTCTGCTGAACAGAGGTGCATGCAGGGCAAAGTGGTGACCCCCACCTTATACACCGTCACCCCTCACACACATCCTGCATAGCGCGGAGTCCTAACATCAGAGAAGATGATGAGATCTGAATACTTGTGTGAAAATACCGGCGAAGAACTCGATCTCTCGGGACGCAGACAGACCACCTCCCTCTCGACCCCTGCTCCTCACTTCCTCCTGCCACCAACCACTGCAGAGAACTTGGCAGGGAACCAGCCACCAATCCATATGTTATACCAGATAATTAAAAATACAGGGTTATGTAATCTTATTTAATGGTTACTTGGCTTGTATTGAAAACCATCCAAAGCAATACCAGAGCGCTGGATTGAATTATAATGCGTAAGACATTTCTGAAGATGGTTTTTAGTAGGAGTCAGCACATCCCCTACTAGCAAATATAATATAAAACATGGAGCAGTACTTTCATCTCCAATTAACCTCCTTGGCAAGAAACTGCAATGCCAATCCACTCTATAGGCACTTCTGTGTGTGGTGGGGGAAGAAAACAGCAAAGCCTATTTTCTTTGATTTGGTTTTACATTAAATAAACATTACCCATTACTTTTGATAAAGCAACAAAAGTATTCAATGTCTTGGGGGTGGGGAGGGAAGAAGAACCAGCTTTCCTGAGAAAAATCAAAATAAAAGTCAGCAACTAAGGCCCATCATAAAACACAAAGGCTGGGGGGAAAAGTATAAAAACTGACCTATGTTAGCCCACGAGCCTCTATCTTGAAACCCTCCCAGCTCGAATTTTTACTTAAAGATTATTAGGGAAAAAAAAAAAAAAAAATCAGCCAAAAAGTTGATCCATGTTAACAAAGCTCTAGTTGTTTTTAAAGTGACAGCTCCTCATTTCTAAGCTGTTCCATTATCATAATGGGTTGATTACTGAAGAAGCCTGGTGGTCACAGGAGGGCTTTAATTCGAAAGTGCCTCTTGGCCTGAGCATTAAAATCCTGCAGGATGAATCTTCAAAGAAGACCACTAGACAAACACAGAAAGAAACTTGTTTTGGAAAATCAAGATACGTCCACTGAAAGCAGTCATATGAATTAAATTGATTTCTGCGGGTTTTTAATTACACGGGCAAAGCATTTTGTTCCAGGTCTTCGGGGAAGCCATAAGAGACAGAAGACCTGGTTCAAATGGAGTCCCTCTCCGTTGCCTACAAGCTTGAAGAGCTGGGTCCTCAGCTCCCTCCCCTGGACAATGGAGACATCAATGTCAGCCCCCAAGGGTGCCGGTGTAAGAACTGAACGCAAGAGCCTGTACCTTGAAGGGCCACGGGAACTTGAAAGGACCACGCAAACACAAGGCAGTGCCGCATCTGGGGATGTTAAGCATGAGCTGGACCTGTGACATGCCGCCCCACAACCAGACGGACCCTCCCCTGCAGACCCTCGTCACTGCACTGGTTAGCGCTGGGGCGCCCGTTCCGGAATCGGGACTCCACATAACCCCCGGAAAAAGAATTTCCTTTAGAGGCAGAAAGTCAAAAATATAGCTAAATAAGAATAAAAAATGCTCCCCTCCAGCCAATATCAAGATGGCTATCAGATTTAAAATCAAAGCTTCCTGACAACCATTCAAGTTCAGAGTTAAGACATTTTTAGAAACGCACTTGTGATATTGGAGTTACATAACAGCATAATTAATATTTAAATGACAGGGCTTTGCATTCGGGATATCAGCCTATGATTTAAGGGAAAAGCCTTTTAGTCTGAACTAATCTAAATTAACAGTAATAAGAGCATGTGAGTAACTCTTTTCTTCCTTCACATAACTGTTCCATGTGAGAAATGTACTTCTAACAAGAATTACATCTTTAATGGAAAAGGCAGGTAATCGGGTGGAACGTAAAAGAAAAACAAGAAATGGCAACATTGTCCAATATCTGTTTCAAGTAACTGGAAGCCATTAACACTACTAAAAGCATAGAAACCAGAAGAACTTTGAATGTATTAGCAACACGGTACTATGGCAACATGGCACAGAAAAATAATTCTGACTTTTAAAATAACTCATTAAACTTTTAAACGGTTCCTTTAACTGAGTACAACATAACTTTGATTCAGCCTCTCTATTCAGAAACATTCACCTGCTTCCACAATCCAGAGCACTTCTAACGCCCCTGATCCAACACAACGTACAAAGAAATTTCTTGCAGAGATGACAGCCCAGCTGGCAACAAAAGACGTATGCAAACCATCAAGAGCAAGGAGTACAAACCTCGCCGGAGAGCTAACTGTTCAAAGAGCAGGGGAATCAAACTTCAATTCTTTTTCCCTGGTTTAAGAATGCGTGCCTATTACTTTTTCAAGAGCCCATTTTATTGAAGAAATCAAAATCAGCCTAAAATTAAAAGAACACGGGAAAGCTCTGTACACCAATTCCTCCCGTTCGACAATCCCAATCTGCTGAAATCTGTGGAGACTCCCGGCCGTCAGCACCAGCCGTCCCACACTCCACTCTGAGGAACTGGTTGCGTCCGGCAGACACCGGAGGTCACTGTTTTAAAACACAGATATCTATATACAAATAGAATATGTCTGCCTCATTTTTCACGTTCCACAATGAAAGAGCCAGGCCAGCACTGAGACCGGCAGACCGATTTATCTCGGGAACCAGACTGTCGCTGCAGACTGAGCCGTGGAAAAGGTACCTGATCTGACCAGATAATGCTGCTCCCATTACCCAGAGAAAAAGCAGACCCGTGGCCCCCAAACCCATCTTTATCTGAAACATGTTTTCCAAACCCAGGAGATACAGAGACCTGCTCTGGGAATGAAGGCTTAATTTACCTTCCATCCCAGAAGGCCGCTCAGGAAGCCGGAGGAGGAACAAGCCAGGTGATGCTGTCCTGTGCAAGCAAGTCTCCATATGCCCCTGTACCACGTCCCGTTCCTCCAGCACGGCTCACACCCCCAGTTAGCTCGAGAAGTGCTAAAATGGCTTAGACAGCTAAGACGCCTTGGCCGGTGTTCTGAGCCCCGAGCCAGCCACCAATGAGGGCCATCCAGCTCTCCCGAAATGAGGACAGGCCAGCCAAGAGGGGCTCTTGAGCAGCCTCTTCTCCCTGCCTGCCGCCTCCGGAGCCGGCCTCAAGGCTTGTCATGACCTGCTCACTGCCAGGAAGGGCAGAGCCCAGACTTGGGAGAAATACAGGAATGGGACAGGAAACTGGGCTCTCCCACTAGGACCTCTGGGTCCTTGTCTAAGGTGCGTGGGGTCTGCCCCCAAACCTCTGTCCCGGTCCTCAAACTTCCCTAACAATCCAAGCACCTGTTCCCTTCACCTCTTCTGCATCTGATCCCCTCAAATCTTTCCATCTTCCTCCAGCTCCTTCTTCAGTTCCTGAGGCAAACCAAACACACTGGCTCCCAGAGACCCTCCCAACTCTCCTCTTCAGTGAGATAATTCACCCCACCCCCAACAAAGCCGCCAGATGTGCTCTGTCCCCGACCCAGAAGTTTCCCTTGGGTATCCTCTGAGTCCCCAAGGATCGCCTTCAAGTCTCACCCCAACGCCCTAGCCTTCTCCTTCCTTCTCAAGTCTCCCAGATCCACACCTCGGGCTTTCCCCCAGGTGTCCCACATTCTCCCAGGTCCCCACCCAAATGCCCCCAGCTTGCTACCAGGGCCCCTCCAGTCTCCCAGAGGTCAGTGTCCTGTCCGGCCAGCTCCCCCAGATCTCCGCATTCCCACTCGGTCCCGACCCTCCCTCCCGGTCCCCGGGCCCCCAAGGGCCGCGGGCGACAGTTAAGGGCCGGCGGCGCGCGCCCTCACCTTGGTTCACCAGCCGCAGAGCGTGCGTGAACGAGGGGTCCAGGGAGTCCTTCTCCGCCATCAGCTCGGGCAGGTACTTCTCCTCCATGCTCGCCGGCCGCCCGGGCCCGGGACGCGGACTCGAGGCGGGCGAGCAGCCGCGGCCCCGCAACCCCCGACCGCGCCCGCGCCCGCGCCCCAGCGGCGCGGAACCTGGGCAGGACGCCGCGGCCGAGCCAAGCCGGGCAGTCAGCCCAGCGGCGGCGGCACGGAGCGGGCACCGGCCGCGCACGCCTGTCCCCGGGGGTGGCCGCCCGCCGAGTGCCGCGCGCCGGCGGCCGCTCCTCCCAGACGCGGCCCCGCGCTCCTGCACCGGGCGCAGGGTACGGGCCCGGGCCGGCGCGGCCAGGGGAGCCCTCGGCAGGGCGGGCGGCCGGCGCGCTCGGTGAGCCTCAGTCAGTCCCGGGCGATCGCCGCCAGCCGCCGCCAGCGCCCCGCTCCGCCGCGACCCGCACGCCGTCCGGAGCTCTCTGGGCCGCCGTGCCGAGCGCCCGGCCCCGCCCCCGCCGGCCCCGCCCGCCCCGCCCCGCCCCGCCGGCCCGCTCCGGTCGCGCCTGCGCGCTGCGCCCCCGCCCGGCATCCCAGGCTCGGTGCCCCGCTGCTCCGCCACCGCGTTCGGGTGGGGCCGCTCGGGCTGCGCTGACAGTCCGCAGGGAGGAGGCATCTGGGGCCCCTCCCGTCTGCCCGCACATCCCTCCAGCCCTGGGGGCGCTAGGGGAGCCCCACGAGGCTATTACAGCATGGCCAGACTCAGAGACCCAGAACTGAGGCCCAGAGAGGTCAAGCGGTTGGTCCAAGGTCACCCAGCGAGCAATTCCGGAGCGAGAGCTGCGCTCTTGGCGGCCCCCTGGGTCAAGGGCCAGGACAGAGGACGGGAGCGGAGCCCCTGCGCGCTCAGGGACAGGCCACCGAGCCAGCCTCCCTGCTAGGGCTCCCAGGACTTGCCTAACTTATTACGCTTTGCTGTCCCCTCCTGTTTGCAAGGAAACAACGCAGGCGCTCAGTCCTTCCCTGGGGCCCAGCTCTGAGCGCCAACCTCCAGCCCCTTGGTGCCCAGGTTGATTACATAAAAGTGCATGCCCTTCAGTGAGTCTTTGTCATCCCCTGTTGACACTCGGTTGTCATTCTCTTTGCCCTGAGTCGGCTGTGCCCGGATACAGGAGAGCAAGCCTCTCTGGTGGCTGCCTCCTCGTGGGGAGGGTGCCCCGGGTGCACACGGGTGCTCCTGTCCTCCGTGCCCCTCTGCCTCCTCGTGGGGAGGGTGCCCCGGGTGCACACGGGTGCCCCTGTCCTCTGTCCCCCTCTGCCTTTTCGTGGGGAGGGTGCCCCGGGTGCACACGGGTGCCCCTGTCCTCCGTGCCCCTCTGCCTCCTCGTGGGGAGGGTGCCCTGGGTGCACACGGGTGCCCCTGTCCTCAGTCCCCCTCTGCCTCCTCGTGGGGAGTGCCCTGGGTGCACACGGGTGCCCCTGTCCTCCGTCCCTCTCTGCCAGTCCCCAACAAACCCTCCTCCAGGTCATTTTCAGATTTCTGAATCTTGTGGAATAACCATCCCCAGCAGGCCAACGACTCTAGTCTGTCCTGCCTCCCCCCAAACCCCCACATTATGTCCTGGCCTCAATGTCACCTTCCCTGGACAGCCTTCCAAAAACTTCTCTGGCCGCCCTCTCCTGCCCCCAGCAAAGCTTGTCAGTGCTCTGTGTCCCCGAGCGCTGGTCAGCCCTCACTCACGGAAGGCTGTCATTCTGCTTTCATCAGACCATGGGAACCTCATGGGCAGGACTAAGGTTTGTTTTGGAGGAAGAGTCCCCAGCACCTAGTGCATTAGGGCAGGTGTGGGGGCAGCAGAAATGTTTGTTGCAAGAATAAGCCAGTGGCGAGCCCGGGACGGAATCCTCCTCCCAGCTCCCCAGGCAGCCCAGTGTTCGCGGGGTGCAGACAGAGACTACAGGCGCTACGAGTGGGCTGAGTCCCAGCCCCCAACACCCACCGTCCCCAGTCTCAAACACCCCATCCCCTGCTCCACCCCTAGACTGACCTGGCTCCCACCTACGGTGCAAAGTCCCCAGTAATTTTCTCTCTTTCTTTGGTCTAAACTTTCAAGAGGAGGTCAAATGAGAAAGTAAGTGTGTGGCCTCCGGGACCAGACAGCCTGCTGTTCAACTAGCTGGGTATCTAGGGGGAGTTACCTCTGTGCCTCAGTTTCCTCATCTGTACGGTGGTGATCACAGTGGAACCTATTTCATAAGAGTTGTGAAGACTGAATGTATCCATTTGTAGTGAAATCCCCCAATCAGACTCTGGCACTAGGACATGGTCTTTGTCGCTTTCTTTCCCTGCATGGCTGCTCCCCAGGTCTCCGGAACCTCTCCTTCCCCTCAGCTGTAGCTCTGCCCTGGGGGTGCTCACTGCTGCACAGTCTGCATGACCCCAGTCCCAGCCCTGCCCTGACCCCCTGCGACCTCAGCTAATCAACCTTTCTGAGCTCAGCAGACCTCCGCAAATCCTGGGTTTTGCCAGCAGTCCTGGAGAGCAGTTGGAAGGATCGTGGGGAGGTGTTTTCTCCTGTAACATCCTAAAGACATGCACACACGCCTGGCTTCCATCCCCCCATCACAGGACCTCATTCTAGGGCTGGAGTCCTGGACAGCTGCCTGCACAGGAAGGAAGAGAGACAGACAGTGTCTGGGACAAGGCGAGCCCCAGGAGAAGGGAATGGGGACCAGAGGTTCAGCTGCTCCCCTCTTGACTTGGTCTTTCACTCTCTGTTTGGCTCTTCGGTCCCAGCGACAGTCCAGACCTTGAATGATCGCCGATTTTATTAAGCATTTACTAGGTGCCAGGCATGGTGCCAACAGCTCTGCGTCCACTCTTCTCAGTTCTCTTCACATCCCACCGCGAATATCCTACGCATCACCGCCTACCAAGGAGGACACCGAGGCTCGGAGCAGTCGGATACCCTGCCCGTCCCACAGCTGTCCGTAAAGGATCCAAGCCCAGGGACCTAAGCCCCCTCTCCCTCCATCTCTGTTCTGCCCTCCCAGGTAGCAGTCGGTGACACTCCTGACTGGCTCCGTTCCTGCCCACGTCTGAGCAGTTGGCAGAGACCTCTCGCCAGCAGCTGGGGGGGAGGGCTGTACACCAGGAAGCTGGCAGCAAGGGCACTGAATCTGCCTCTCTGACCCTCCTTCTCACAGAACCTTCCAAGAGGGCAGGTGCCCAGCACCATGAGCGCCCCAGTGGGGTCCTCCAGGGAGGAAGGAGATGAATGTCTCTGTGAGATGCTCAGGAAATTGTCCCCACCCTCCAACCTGGCTGAGCCGCTGGCTGGGTCCTGGGGGGGCTCCCATGCCTTATTGCAGACTCGGCTGTGTCCTTATGAGAGGGCCATCCTGTGGGCACTAACCCTCTGTCCCTATGAAGATGAGCAAGTCCGCTTGGAGAAAGGTTGTCGCTTTTCTACAAGGGGCTGCAAGTAGGTCTCCAACCCAGGCGTCCTGACTTCCAGGACAGAGGTCGGTCCAGACCCACGCACCAGTACTCACAGAGCGCAGACCGTGTGCAGGGCCTGTTCTGGGCACGAGGGACTAGCCGTGGACAAAACCACCCTCTCCAAAGCCACATCCGCCTACTCCACCCGCGAGGTCCGGGCCTGCCCTGAGCTGGCGGTCCTGCCTGCAGCGAGGAACTGTCTGCTCCCGCTCCTCAGCCCACGGCTCAGGGATTCATCTCGCAGCCTCAGCCAGTGTCACTGGCCCCCTCAGCGACCAGCAAGTCATGGCAGCCCCAGCCCAGCGGCCATGGCACTGCGAACCCCACCTGCGGGAAGAGAAGGGCTACAGGTCAGACCCAGTGTTACCTGAGGGTGCGCAGACGCAGAGCATGCGACCCTGAGGCCGACTGCTGCTTAACCACAAGCCTGCTTTTCCTTTTGTTCAGAAAGGTGAGCCCCCACACACACACAGAAAAGAAAGGTGAGCCCCATCCCAGTTACCCCAGACCTGCAGTGCCCTGGGTGGTGACGTCCAGCTCCGACTGGACCAAGAGTCGGAGAGACCTCGGCTTGGCCCTGGCTCTCCTGCTCGCTAGCTGTGACCTTGTTTCAGAGACCTGCTGTCTCTGAGCATGGGCAGAGGACAGCCCCTACGACAGCACCTCCTAGGGTCTTGGCGTGGTTTAAACGGAAGCCCTGAGCTCACCCTGGGCACTCAGGGACTGCATTGAACCCGTCTGACTCTCCCTCCACCAGCCTTGTCTGTGCTCCTTTCACAGAACCCACTGGGTCCTGGGCATCTGAGGATGCCCTGCCTCCAGGATGTCCTCAGAGCCCGCTCGCCTCCAGGGCCCCAGTGCCGGTCAGGCAGCTGGCGCAGAGCAAGCACTCACCCATCCGAGCCCCTTGCTCCCGGAGGCTGTCTCCTAACAGCTCTGCTTCCCAGCCGCCTGAGGCCAAGGGCCTGTCGTGAGACACAAGCACCAAGCGGCGGCACAGCCTCGCTTGGAACCCAGTCATTCCCGTGTTGGGGAGAAAGGCGTGAGGATGTCCACTCGGACCCCTGGCCCTTGCCCATTGCAGCAGGAAATGCAGTTCACACCTGGAACACGAGTGAAAAGGCTGGACACACACATGGAGGGGGCACAGAGGAACTCCTCAGAGCTGAGCCGTCACTGGGGACCAGCCAGGTTGTTAATGGTTCTGTTGTACCCACCCGGTGTCCCCAAACCTCCTGCACTCAGCCAAGTACAGCGGGAAGGAACCAGAGATCGGCTAGCTCAGAGGTCACCCAGTTTTAGACTTGAAGAAGCTGTTGCTCAGAACAATGAAGTGATCCGAAGGTAGTAATTACACAACTGCGCACAGACACACACACACACACACACACACTCACACACTCCCCACCTGTGTCTAAGTATGGATGAAATCGGACCTTTCAGCCCAGTCACTCATGTGCCTGCAGACACCTGCCCTGTCTCTGTTACATGTTCCCTACAGGTCTACTCCCTCCTCTCCCTCCTTCCGGGATGGAAACTCCAGGGCGTCTAGCCCCATC